CCTCCAGCATCATGGTCATCAACAGCATCTTGACCATCCTCCAGCATCATGGTCATCAACAGCATCATGACCATCCTCCAGCATCATGGTCATCAACAACATCATGACCATCCTCCAGCATCATGGTCATCAAGAGCATCATGACCATCCTCCAGCATCATGGTCATCAACAGCATCTTACTATCCTCCAGCATCATGGTCATCAACAGCATCTTGACCATCCTCCAGCGTCATGGTCATCAACAGCATCATGACCATCCTCCAGCATCGTGGTCATCAACAGCATCTTGACCATCCTCCATCATCATGGTCATCAACAGCATCTTGACCATCCTCCAGCTTTATGGTCATAAACAGCATCTTGACCATCCTACAGCATCATGGTCATCAACAGCATCATGACCATCCTATAGCATCATGGTCATCAACAGCATCTTGACCATCCTCCAGCATCATGGTCATCAACAGCATCGTGACCATCCTCCAGCATCATGGTCATCCTCCAGCATCATGGTCATCAACAACATCATGACCATCCTTCAGCATCATGGTCATCAACAGCATCATGGGCATCCTCCAGCATCATGGTCATCCGGCAGCATCATGGTCATCGTGACCATCCTCCAGCATCATGGTCATCCTCCAGCATCATGGTCATCAACAGCATCGTGACCATCCTCCAGCATCATGGTCATCAACAGCATCATGGGCATCCTCCAGCATCATGGTCATCCTCCAGCATCTTGGTCATTAACAGCATCATAACCATCCTCCAGCATCATGGTTTTCAACAGCACCGTGACATGGTGTAGTGTGAAAATAACACACGCTCTGTGATGTGGTAGACGTGGTGCAGGTCTGTAGGAGCTATTTTTCATTTTATTGATTTTGTCAAATTTATTGGCTGTGACGCCAATTGTTGATACAAGCCAATTGTTAATATAAGCCAATTGTTGATATATAGTATAACATGGGGTAACGGGTCCACTGCGATTCATGGGCCCATAGCGGGTTTCTCGCTAAGTATAGCAGATATTGGTCCGTGTTCTCTACCGCCGGTCGACAGTTTCACTGGGATGAAGTGTACGGCTTTACGTTTTGCTAAGAGTTTGCTTTGTTGAGTTATATGTGAATAACTGTTTTAGCACAGATAAAAGTTTTTTGCTGCTAGATGATTTTTAGTAATCGAAATTTTTTTTCGATTACGAAACAATTTTCGTAATCGCAATCGTTGGCTGTTTTCGATTACTGTACGTGAAGCTTTTGAAATTATTGTGAATTATATTTTGTAAGTATTATTTATAGGGATAATTTTGAGTTTAAGTTTACACTAGTAGCTTTTAAAATAAAATGTTGACACGATATAAATTGAAATCCTACCTAGTGGGGCAACGGGCTCACGCGTGTCACGGGGCAAAGAGCCCATGGTGGGCTCAATACCCCTTTGTGAAGTCTTGTGTTATCCATCATTAGATTTGTCTCAATGAGCTCTTCAAAGCTATGAATAGCTTTCTGAATTACAAATTACACTTAATGTTTTATGATTTTTTATTTGCTGCCTCAAAGAAGCAGGTTCTAGTTTCTAGTTATGCGTATATATGATCCGGTATCGAGTTATTGACTCTCGACTTGCCCAAAGTTGATTTCAGTCAACATCAATGAGCCGAAAGTTGACGAGTTTTTATGGTGTTGGCTGAAATCACGATTAGGTACGAATTCTCTACACATAATATATGGATTATGGGCGAAACTGGAACGAAGTTTTTTTCTGATCAACTAAATATATTTTTCTAGTCAAGGATATAATCTTTCATTTCAATGAAATAATTTTCTTCACGTCAGTGATAGATTTTTAACAAGAAAGAACATATTTTTTCATGTTAAGGATATGATTTTTTAAGTTGTTAGTAAAAGAATGAATGTCATATTTTTTATTACAATTTCTTCATTTTTAACTGTAAAGAGTTGTTTTGTCATTTTTAACCGAAGAATATGCAATTGTGGTTAAGGGACCAAGGGTGGGAGCCTTGCCCCAAGCTCATGGGCCCATTGCCCCAGGGTTGGGGCAATGGGCCCATTTTAACACTTATACAAAATAGTGTATCATTAATAATTGAATAATTCTATAGACGTGTAATTTACGTCATACATTCCTCATTAGTTGTAACTTTAAACTTCTAGCATTGAAATGTTATGGGAGGCGCTTGTCTTAGAGTTTATAGCTGTGAACTCCCATGGCCTGAATCTCGGAACTATGAACTTTGATCGACTAATGAGTTCTGTAAAGAAATTAGGAGCTGGAGTGCGGAATGACGGAGAGATGATAACTGTTAAGTCATGATGGAGTGTTTGAATCATTGTGAGGTGTTACGAGCGTGCCATCAGAGAATGTGAGGTGCAGGCTGCCTGCCCCACTGAAGGTGAGTATGAGTCAGCTATCGAAGAATGCGAGGTTCAAATTGACTGCCTCACCAGAGGTGTGTATAATTTCGGCATTATAGTATGCGTAAAGCAGAGAGCCTGCCACACTGAAAGTAAGTGCGAGGGTACCTCCGGAGAATAAGAGATCAAGATCCATTTCCCACTGAAGGTGAGCACACGAGTCCATCAACTAATGAGAGGATTATATTGCATTGCTCACTAGATGGTCAGTTCGCCTTGACGTTAACACTTTGACTACGATTGCTTCATCCTGTACTATTATTTCATTTTTTGTACTGTTTATAAACAGGGTTGCCAGACGGTCATTTTTTCCGGACAAATTCCGTGATTTAATTTTTCTCAATTGCTTGGCCGGCTAAAATTTATGACGAGGGTACTTCCTAATTAAATTTTAAATACTGCAAAAAATAAATGGAATTTTTATAGCGGAACCTACAAATGAACTAGCATATATTGAGTTATCGCCCTTTTTTGGCCTTCTTTGTTCTCAGAATTAAAAAAAAGAACAGATTCACAAGTTTTTCGGCCCCACTATCAATGGAAAGTTTGCAATACACTTTGATACCGTCACCCGCATCATAACATTTTATACTGAAAGTATTGACAGAGAACTCATTCTTGTTTTTCAGTACAAACGACTTAAACTTGCTTAGAAGCCTTGGAGTCTTTTTTCAACATTATCTACACGACAAAATAAAAAGATGCATGTAAACATATTTCGATGAAACAGGTTTCACTAGAAAGAGAAAATTCTGTATTATAACATGTGTTGATAATATGTTATGGTTTTAACACGTCGAATGCGATACGCCCCACCAGGGTTGCCAGATGGCCTAAAAATGGCCAAGTCCGGGGACAAAAAGGCCTTCAAATCAATATTTACTAGTAAATTTGTAGTTTTAATTCAGTTTTTCAAAAAAATATGATAATTAAATTTTCATTTATTTCGTGCTTTTTAAATTTCAATACGGAAATACCGCCGCCAGACATTTTTGCCGCCCAATGCAATTGAAATAAAAAAAAATCACAGAATTTGTCCGGAAAACAACCATGGGACCCATCGTTGGATCGTATCGCACTCCACATGTTAAAGGAAGAAATCTTAGTTTGACAAATGCTGCGCTCGGCTCATTATTAGCCTTCAGTCGTAAAAACGACCTAATTAAAAAAAATCAGATCACAACTTTCTAGCAAGATCAAAACAGCTACATAGTTATTTAGTTTAATCAAACCATGCAAATTGTGTTCGGATCGGTATTGTATGTTTCTATTGACTAGCGAGAATTAAATGAAGTGCAGTTCTTGCTGAGTGAAGCTACTCGCGCATCATTGATGGTAGTTTAATGGAATCTTAGTGCCTTTACTTCACGAGCGTAGACTGAAATTTCTGAAAATGAAAATTTGTCTGTTTAAGGATTCTATATTAGTTTCTGATATACAGCGACGCCTTTCCCCGCAGACGACGCGGCGTGCACTCGAACGTTTGCCGGCGGTAACAGCAGCAGTCATTGGTAAGTAGAATATTTTAAATATTTTGAATGGGGGTAGCTGCAACTTTTCCAAGTCCTTGGCCACAAAATAGATTCATTTATAATTTTAGCAGCATTCGCGATAACTTTAATTGAATAGTTTCGGGTGAGGAGGACAGCGTTCACGGTTTCACCACCAATAGTGATCTGGAATTTACTACCAATAGTGAAAATGCAACCCTGTTTATTCCCCTGCAGGTGTCCGAGCTCGTGCACAGCGTATGGGAACACCTCGTACTCCGCGGCGTACGGAGGGCGCTCCCCAGTAACAGGGACTCTGCTTTACGATGAGGTGAGACACGCAGACGGTCTGGGGGAAGTAGGAGAATGTTGCGATGCCTGGGACTGTAATACAACTGGGCTAGGGACTGAGATGACATGTGTCCTGGGACTGTAATACAACGGGGCTAGGGACTGAGATGACATGTGTCCTGGGACTGTAATGCAACAGGGCTAGGGACTGAGATGACATGTGTCCTGGGACTGTAATGCAACAGGGCTAGGGACTGAGATGACATGTGTCCTGGGACTGTAATGCAACAGAGCTAAGGACTGAGATGACATGTGTCCTTGGACTTTAATGCAACAGGGCTAGGAACTGTGATGCCTTGTGTCCTGGGACTGTAATACAACAGGGCTAGGGACTGAGATGCCTTGTGTCCTGGGACTGTAATACAATAGGGCTAGGGCTGTGATTCCCCACCCTTTTGCCCCATAGCAGATTATGGTGCTTGCGTTGCGGAAAGTTCCCTTCACTTTTCGAGTGTTGAATAAGTGATTTCTTCTTCGTCACTCACTATTTTGCAGAGGGATGAATGCAGCAAAGGCTTAGAATGTCTGGGTTGTTGCATCGCCCCTCTGCCAAACGCTTCCTCACAAAATATTCGTATATCGGACCCCGCATTTTATTTGAAGTAACACTTGATTCTAAATAAAATGAATCTTCATTTCACCTTCTCTTTAAAGACCTAATAGTCGCGATCATTTGTTGTAAATAAATTCATTGAGAGAATTGAAGCGCCAGGAGGAAATAAATTCAACTAATTGATCTAATTAGAATTTAGCTCCTCTTTGAGAATAGAAAGATAACAAATCATTTGTTTATGTTAAATTGAATAGCATTGATAATGATAAATAAATGATTGAGAGCAATTTTTACAGACGTCATTTTATAACTCAACTGCTGTATAAGAATCACATTCACTGCCTCCTTGTAAGCAATAACCGGTTAACAATAATTCACTCAGAGAACAGGCATCAATCATCAATATTTTATTTTGTTCCAATTGTATTTTTTTCAATTAAATAAAAAAAAATTGGACAATATTTGCACATATTTTGATGCTACAGAATTATTTAAGTTCTCTCACTTATCCTGCCAGGCCTGGTCGTCTTAAATATAATTTGAGGTCATAGGGCAGCCGTTAAGATCTTTGGAACGATCCTATAACTCCTGAAACTGTTCCTTTGATCCACGTCGTCCTAGAACTCGCCGGTGTGCCTGGCCGCCCTCCACGCCGGCGTCCTGCAGGCTGGGGAGGACAAAGAGGTCCTCTTCAGGTCCCTGGAGGTCACCGAGAGCTTCGTGGGAACAGTCCGCAATCGCGTTATTTCGCAATCTAGGGAAGTAGAGTAAGTTGAGCCGCAGTTAAATCATAATCATTGAGCCCAGTGGTTAAAGTTCAGAGTACCAAAACAAAATTGGAGCAGAGAGGCGCGGGTTCGATCCCAGCTCTGTGCGCCAGTTACTGGTCAGAATCGGCGAGGAGGCCGGGCGGTTAAGCACAGCAGAATTGTAGCAGTGAGTTGCGCGTTCAACACCGCAACAAGCTGTGGATGTTCTGCGATGTTAAGAATCGGTGACAGGCCTACGGCCTAATAAATGCTGAAACCGCTATTATTATTATCTGCGGAACATCGTTTAGGAAAATAATAGAGCTATTGCATACTAGTTTAGATTTACTGCTGATCACTGGGGGCAACAGCCACCGCCCTGATATCATTCTAACGTCATGCCATTTTGAAAGTCAAGCAACTGAAACCATACCTCAAGATCAATGTATTAAATCATCACGATTTTAGTCGTCATTATTATATAATCTAGGATAACCTTAGGTATTAACCAATAGTATCTCTTTATCAGGTGCTAAAAATTATGCTGGAAAACCTGCATATAACCCAGACTCAAACCTTTTTCTTTACCAATAGCACAATATAGAGTTGCTGATTTTATTCCTTGTCTTCAACCTGCAAGCAATCCCATGCCAAGTTTTAAATGAATTTCTTATTTGGTTCATTTACCAGGCCTGGTCGACCTCAACGCGCCTTCGCCTTCTCAGGCGGTTCCTCCCACACACCCTCAGGTGAGGTCGGCAGTGAGGGCAAACTTTTGTCCAATGTTAATGCCACGTCCTCCCTCACACCCTCAGGTGAGGTCGGCAGTGAGGCCAAACTTTTGTCTAATGTTAATGCCACGTCCTCCCAAACACCCTCAGGTGAGGTCGGCAGTGAGGGCAAACTTTTGTCCAATGTTAATGCCACGTCCTCCCTCACACCCTCGGTAAGGACCAACTTTATCCTATTTAACACCGCCTTCGACAGCACGAGAGCTGCGGGAAATGCACGGCTGGTCGTGAACACCCAGGCTATGGCGCTCAAGGCATAGCAATCTTTCAAATATCAACTGTATCCTGCCTGGTGTTTGAGGAGGGAATGATGATTAGTAGATGTTTTTAAATGAAATTTCTACATCTGCTAATGAATTGAGATTTATATCACTAGGACTGACTCATTGCCTACTTTGAACTTGCCATACATTGAACTAACATTTGCTGGGAAATAAACCAACATCACGGCGATCATTTGAATTTTTCAGAGGCATGTTAAGGTAAAACACGTCAGCTAGTTAAACAAAAGTCATCCATAAATATATCAATGAAATTTACTTTCAACTTGTTATATTTTAAATATTTGATTGTTTGTCATTTAATAAGAAAATTTCAATGATCATGTCTTTCGGAGAGTAAACCTAGTAATTCTACATCTAATATATTGCAAAATCTCACAACATGATTATTTGATTGATGGTTATTCCTACATGCATTTATCACGATTCTCATCATGTACTTATCTCGTCCATCAGAAGCAAAGCTGGCAGGCGCGGCGGTTATCATGGTTTACAACGCCTATAGAAATAATGTGTCATGCATCTCCTCATCGAGTGACGCACGTTTGCCACATCCGTATTTCACTCGCTGGGACTACACGCCTGTCACGGCCAGTCCCCCATCTGTTGTGATTACGTCTGAGCCCAACTACCTGCAAGCGACCTTCGAAGACGTCCCTGACCCTCCAGTGCTGCGGTGCCTCAGCGACGAGCCCGAGCGTGACGTGACTGCCTCCATCAGCAGAGGTGGGCAGTGATGCGCTACATTTTCAGTAGTGGTAGCGGCTGCATTACACCTCACAACTGCTCAACTGTAAATTATAAGGCTGCATGCATCCCGGCCGCAAGTGGACGTTTGTCACGTCCGTATTTCACTCGCTGGGACTACACGCCTGTCACGGCCAGTCCCCCATCTGTTGTGATCACGTCTGAGCCCAACTACCTGCAAGCGACCTTCGATGACGACCCTGACCCTCTGGTGCTGCGGTGCCTCAGCGACGAGCCCGAGCGTGACGTGACTGCCATCTCCGGCAAGTTTGGAGGTCAGTGGTCAGTCCTTCAGTCTACTTAACACTGAAATACAGAACACGGAATCGCAGACCGTGCGTGACGCTGATGTCCCGCTTCTGTTCATCAGCGATTTATGCATGGCACGCAGACGATGATTGTATGGCCGCCCGCCTGCTTTTTATTACGAGAACCTATTGGCGTTGTCGCTGATGTATTGACTGTGACTATCACACTTAATTGTTTGGCCGTTCCTTTTGCAGGTTTATACATACTCAGCTTGGAAAATTTACACAAGGCATCTTACGTCTTGTCTACTCTGATTTTTCTTTTGTAATATCGAAAAATAGGATGACAAAAAACTGGTTGGAATTACTAGTCAGTTTTGAGATAACATGTATTCGTCATAGCTTATTTAATTTATTTTTCAGACCCCTACACACTCACTCCTCTCCTGACGGTGACCAGGAGCGTGGGCGAGGATTTCATCTGGGAGAATATCCCTGAAGGTGCGATTGTAAAAAGAGTTCCCGCAGTGGCGGGTGAAGTGACGAAAGTTTTGAGGAACCTGACGGTGCAAGACGCTGGCCTCTACAGTTTTGAAGTCAAAAACGCCACTGATGCAGTCAAGTATTTCGGCAGACTCGTCGTGAGAAGTAAGTTATAACTAGAGCTCGTGACTACAGATAAGCTTTTACTTGGATCAATAGATAAATATTTATGTCTTCCAAGCCACCTTAGACTGTAGGATGACTGGTGGCAGTAATGAATGGCTGCAGTGTTGAATGGTGACAGTGATGAATGGTTGCAGTGATGAATGGCCGCAGTGATGAATGGTGGCAGAGATGAATGGTTGCAGTGACGCATGGTTACTGTGATGAATGGTGGCAGTAGTAACCTTTGACTCACTGCCGGAAGGAAAGCGTTAGGTGATGCTTTGCATGCCGGCAATTTGAGAGAACCTCTTCATACTGTGACTATAATACAGGGTTAGGAACTGCTGTTATAAGCACCAGCTTTAAACATCATCAGCACTAGTACAACCTATCATTAGCGGTGCAAATACTAGCATCAGTAAACACAAGCAACTGTTATCACCACCCACTGTCATTACAAGCTAGTGCCATCGCTAACGGCTGCCGCCTCTATGTTAGGCCGTCACTAACACCAGGCATCACCAGCACCAGTCATCATTAGCACCAGTCAACACTAGCACCAGTCATCACTAGCACCAGTACTAGCACCAGTCATCACTAGCACTTCCCATTACTAGCACGAGAAATGTCACACATCATCAATCATAAATTCCAGTCATGACAGGAAGCAGCTATCACTATCATCAGCCATCACTACTGCCAACAATAACAAGTAGAAGCCATCATTATCATCGGACATCAGTTATATAGGCAACCACTAACATCAGCCATCACTAGCACCAGCAATAGCTGATGCCAAACATAACTAGCCCCACTTACTAGCTTCATTCAGGTTGCCCCAAGCATCGCTTTGGTGTCGGCTGTGCCGAGTGGTGCCCAGACTGCCTCAACTCTGGGGAATGCCACCCTCGCTCTGGGGAATGCGTCTGTGCCCCAGGCACCTATGGGGACCACTGCCAGCACTGTGAGTGTTGTCACCGAGTGCGTTACTTTATTATTTGCATCTCTTTACTGAGATTACTCTAGGAAATAATTAGAGTTATTTCCTAGACACATAAATAGAGTTATCTCCAGGAGCTATAATTAGAGTTATCTCCGAAAGAGATAAATATAGTTTTCTCCTAGAGGTATAACTAGAGTTATCTCCTAGGTAGATAACTAGAGTTATCTCCTAGATAGATAACTAGAGTTATCTCCCAGAGAAATAACTAGAGTTGTCTCTTAGAGAGAGGATTCTAGGAGAACGTGTAAATGTACCTTTTAGTGCTGTCATCCTGCGTGCCTTTGTTGACCGCTGTTGGTGACGGTGCATTCATGAAGATTCCATCACTTGTTAGCTGTTGTGTGGACTTGAGAGAAGAAACTCATTTATTGAAATACCCAAACAACATTCAGCTTTATCAGCCATTGAGCATCTCTCTTCAATGTGACGTCGATTGCGCCGCAAAGCTGCCTGCTCTCCTGTAGAACTTTTCATCTTCGGTATAGCGTTGACAGGATCCAGCCTTGGATGCTGGTTTGGAGCAAGTTCTTTTTCACAGACTGCGGCGAGGGTCGTTACGGCGACGACTGCAGTAAGGACTGCTCTAGTACACACCTCGGTTGGGCACGCAGTGATAACTGCAGCGGGCTGACCTTCTGCACTCACGACCCGCGGGGCTGCTCCTGCCTTCCTGGATACCGCGGACCCAACTGCGACAAAAGTAATGGGAGAAAGAAAAGGCAGATGAATGCGAAGTAGCTTTACTCCTGTAGCTTTCCAATTCTCAGCGGATACGGTGCATTAAACATGACGCTAGATCTGAACACATTTATTATTGTACGTCATCCTGAAGGACAGTATCACACAGTAGATGTTGGATGCCCTGGTAATAATGAGGTTATTGGGTTCATACTCCGAGTGTCAATACATTCGTACTCTTTGTTATCAGCACTTGGATGTACTCTTTCGTGTCCCTGATCATAGGAACTTTTAAATAATTTATCATCAAATTTGTTCAGCATAACAACTAGTAACCGATGTGAGGGTTACTCTTAATAATAACAAGACACTTTATTCACCCTAATGAATCACACAACATATGCCCCACCTCTGTGTCATGTATACATGCGTAGTCCCTGTGTGATGTATACTCGCTGTTGCTGTGTCGTAATGCCAGCACGAGTCGCTGAGGTAATCACGTGTGCCTCACGCAGGGTGTGCTCCTGGGTGGTACGGACCAGACTGCGCCCTGCGCTGCCGCTACTGCGTTGATGACCTCTGCTCTCCTGTTGACGGCGGGTGCACGCGCCGCTGCCGCGACCCTGCTCTCTGCACTGACGGTTCGCATTAGTAATTTTAACCTTTTGCAAAGTAAATGATATAGTATTTTATTTTAATGCAAATATTTTTTGCAAATGATTTATTTTGTTTTAAAATCGAGCAGATGGTTCGGTTAGAACAGTGAAACAGTTAGCGGAATTTTTTCGTAAAAAAATAAGATTTTAGCTTGGAATTCATTCAAAAAGATGGCCAATTTCCACCCTCCTGTTGCCATCAAACCGCGACATGGGGAGCTCATCTAAGAGCACGTCTAGAACTGCGAGCACGTCTAGCACTAGGTGAACGTCTAGCACTAGAAGCACGTCTAGCACTAGGAGCACGTCTAGCACTAGGAGCACGTCTAGCACTAGGAGCACGTCTAGCACTGGGACCACGTATAGCACTAGAAGCACGTCTAGCACTACCCAAGTGAAATTTTTATTCCTGTCAGCCGCTGCCACAAGGACGCCCCAAGCTCGCCTAGCGGTGTAAATTAGCGGATCTATATCCGCTTTAGGTTCCTGTTGCCGGAGCGAAATAAGCGCTGAAACAGAATCTTGTGAAATACCTATCGAGCTTGGGGCGATCGTGTGGCGAGCGTATTTGGTACCTGATACGTTCGGGACAGACACGGCCGAACCTGAAAAATGCGGTAAAAATTCCCCCTCGCTCCCCCCCCTTATGGGAGGAAGGGAGGGGGCATTTGAATCTCTGTACGCTATATACATATATATGCAGTCTAGTACTACTCGCTTAGTTTCCAGATCAGAGCACAGTATATCAGAGGCTTAATTTCCATGCATAGACGTTTACAGCTAGTAACTATTTTGACACGGCGTGGTTATAAATGAGGGCAATAATCGCAAATAAAAAATTCAATCGATACGTCAATATAACTGATTCGTGGTAATGCAAGTCAAACCAATTTCCCCTATTAAATCCCTGTATCCTGCTGAAAGAACAACGTTGTGTTTAAAATAATCGTTGAATTATTTGCGTATCATGCATGTCATGTAACTTTCGTCACATTAAATTTTTATCGAACAAACAGTTCGATAGAGCAGATAGAACTGCAGATAGCAGTTCTTGCAGGCCCTTGCAGATAGAACTGCAAGGGTCTCGAATTTCTGCTTCCATTGACGAAAGAAAGACCACACAATAGAATGGAGAAGCACATGTTAATCTTAACAAAAACGAGTTACAGCTCTATCTTGATTGCAGCTTTCAGTTGTTCACACTTCATAGCAAATGAGGATCTTTCTGCATCCATCTTAGGCTGCTGCAATGACAGAATTGAGTTTCACATGTAGTTCTTCTCAAGCAATAAAGTTATCAACTGCACTCTAAATTCCTGCAGAGACAATCAAATAAATAGCAGAATATGCGATAGCTTTGGAAATTCTTAGATCAAATATGTTGCTCATAGAGGGACTCCTTGTAAGCGATAGTTCATAAGCTATATTCTGCTTGAGCAATAAGCTCAAGCATGCAGACATATGCTCAAAGCTGAACAGTTCTTTTGTTGAAGAAACCATTCGCCTAGCAAAAATTTTTACCGGAGTCTGAAAATACTGCTTGAACTGTTTCAAAATGAAGAATCGATGCATTTCTAACGACTAATACCATTCCAATATTGCTGAGCTCGATGGAAATTTCCTGAATCTATCCTCGTATAATTTGTAGTTCTTCAGAAATAACCAGATTCATCATTATACCTAGAAGTAACTCCATAATGAAACCTGATGATGAAACGAAATAGAGTCGATAGAACGGAACAAAAGTCCTGTTTTTG